ACCCTTCGGACCGCTGGTGACAAGGTTTTCGCGAGATCATATCGACATGCTTCTAGTCGATATTCTTGGTCGATATTTTCTCGGTGATTTTTCTTGTTTTATCGACCAAAATATCGTACAAACACACCTCAATGCACTTGTAAATATGTGTTTTTCCTGGCCAGCATCGAGGCTCAAAATCTCGATATTCTGGTCGACATTTTTTTGGTGCACAAAATTTACATTATCGACCAGAATATCGAGATTGTGCATGGTCGATAGGATCTCAAACCTTGGTTGATTTTTGACATTTCCTGCATTCAAATCTCCTTTAGACAGCTCTCAAACCATATTAGACCTGCTCACACTTAAGAAAACACATCAAAGAGTCCTAAAAATTCAAAAGAAACATGAAAGAAAGTATATACAAGTGATAAGCTTGGGGTGTCTCCCAAGAGCACTTTGTTTAAAGTCTCTAAGTTTGACTTTGAAAACCTGTTTAACAGGTTGGTGGATCATCAAGAGGAACTGTAGAAGCTTCCTCTCTCTTCTCTGAAACCAGGTAATGCTTGACCTTTTGTCCATTCACAACAAAACCATTTCCATCCTTTCCCTCCAAGACCAATGCTCCATAGCTTCTAACCTCTTAAACCCTGAATGGTCCTAACCATCTTGACCTTAACTTGGCTGGAAAGAGCTTGAGCCTAGAGTTCAACAAGAGAACAAGGTCTCCCACCTTGAACTCTCTCTTAAGAATCTTCTGATCATGCAAGATCTTGGTCTTTTCTTTCTAAATCCTTGCACTCTCAAAAGCATTGAGTCTTATCTCTTGTAGCTCATGTAACTGAAGCACCCTCTTCTATTGAGCTGTTTTAATGTCAAAATTCAACATTTCAACAGCCCGAAGAGCTTTGTACTCAAGCTCTACTGGTAGATGACAGCTCTTCCGATACAACATATTGAAAGGTGAGGTTCCAATGGGTGTCTTGAAAGCAGTCCTATAGGTCCAAAGAGCATCATCTAACTTCTTGCTCCAATCCTTCCTTGAGTTGCTCACTGTTCTTTCCAAGATGGCCTTGATCTGTCTATTAGAAACCTCCACCTGGCCACTTTTTTGGGGATGATATGGACTTGCTATCTTGTGTTTGACACCATGCTTCCTTAACAACCCCTCTAGAGTCTTGTTCACAAAGTGTGTGCCACCATCACTTTTCACTACTCTAGGAACCCCAAAACTTGGGAGGATAATACTCTTGAAGAGCTTGCATACCACCTTGGAGTCATTGGTTGGGAGGCAATGGCCTCAATCCACTTTGAGACATAATCAACTGCTACAAGGATGTATTGGTTCCCATATGAGCTTACAAAAAAAACCCATGAAGTCAATACCCAAACAGTCAAAGAGTTCCACTTCCAAGATGGGATTTTGGGGCATTTCACTTCTCTTAGAGATGTTGCTTTTTCTTTGGCATTGATCACAGCTTGACACAACACCTTGAGCATCTTTAAACATACTTTGCCACCAGAAACCTTACTGTAACACCTTGGCAACCGGTTTGATAGCTCCTAAGTGTCCGCCATAAGCAGAACCGTGACACTCTTGCAACACAGGTTGAAGCTACTCTTCAGCCAAACACCTTCTATATAAGTGATCATTGTTGAGCACATAGAGAAATGGCTCATCCCAGTAATGTCTATTGATCTCTCTGGAAAATTTCTTCTTTTAATAGCCACTTAGCTCAAGTGGCTCAACTCCACAAGACAGAAAGGTGACAATATCTGCAAACCATGGCATCCTTCTCTCTCTAATGCTTTCAGCCTCTTCAAACTTCAAGTATTGGTTGAGCACCATCAGTTATTCCTCAGGGAGAGAGTAATTAAGAGGGATCTCAGAATCCACTCTTAATCTATAAATATGGTCAACAACTCCATTTTCTATTCCCTTCTTGTCTTGGACCTCCATATCAAACTCTTGAAAAAGGAGAACCCACCTTAGCAACCTTGGCTTAGCATCCTTTTTGGTCATCAGATATCTGAGTGCAGAATGATCAGTATAGACCAATACTTTAGATCCCACAAGATAGCTTCTAAACTTGTCAAATGCAAATAAGATGGCCAACATCTCTTTCTCAGTGGTTGCGTACTTTTCTTGAGCAGAATCGAGGGTCCTACTGGCATAGTAAATCTCATGAAGCTTTTTGTCCTTCCTCTGGCCTAGCACAGGGTCCAACTGCATAGTCTGAGGCATCAGTCATTACCTCAAAGAGGAGAGACCAATCTGGAGCCTGAACAATGTGTGCACTGATCAATGCCTCTTTGATCTTCTTGAAAGCTTCCTCACACTCGGCATCAAAGACAAATTCAACATCCTTGCATAACAGCCTTGTCAAAGGCCTAGCTATCTTTGAAAAGTCTTTAATGAACCTTCTGTAAAACCCTGCATGACCAAGAAAGCTTCTTATCCCCTTGACTGAATATGGAGCTTGCAGATTTACCATCACTTCCACCTTTGCCTTATCGACCTCTATACCCCCCCCCTCGGAGACTTTATGCCGGAGCACAATGCCTTCCTGCACCATAAAGTGGCGCTTTTCCCAGTTTAAAACCAACCTGTGCTCCTCACACCTCTTCAGGACCTGAGATAAATTAGCAAGACAAACCGAGAAGGAGGATCCATAGACCGAGAAGTCGTCCATGAATACCTCGACTTTCTCTTCGATTAAATCCGAGAAGATGCTCATCATGCAACGTTGGAAAGTGGCAGGTGCGTTGCACAGCTCAAAGGGCATGCACCTATATGCAAAGGTCCCGTATGGGACAGGTAAATGTGGTCTTCTCCTGGTATCTTGGATCTATTGGGATTTGAAAGAATCCAGAGTAACCGTCTAGAAAACAAAAGAAAGGATGGTTTGCGAGCCTCTCTAGCATTTGGTCAATAAAAGGCAAAGCAAAATGGTCCTTCCTAGAGGCTGCATTCAATTTACGATAGTCTATACGCATTATGTGACCTGTACTAGTCCGTGTAGCTATCAACTCATCCCTCTCGTTTTTTATAACTGTCATTCCTCCCTTTTTTGGCACCACATGAACTGGTGAAACCAATCTAGAGTCTGAGATTGGATAAATGATATCAGCCTCTAGGAGTTTAAGAATCTCTTTTTTCACTACCTTCTTCAAGTTGGGATTGAGCCGCCTTTGGTACTCAATGGATGACATAGATTCCTCTTCAAGGTGAATCCTATGAGTGCATAGGGAGGGTGAGATACCTTTTATGTCATCCAAAGAGTAGCCAATGGCTCTCTTATGTTTTCTTAACTCATCTAACAATGCATGCTCTTGATCATCTAATAACCTATCATTTATGATGACAGGATAAGATTCATTGAGTCCTAAGAAAGCATACCTTAGCCCCTTGGGAAGAGGTTTGAGTCCCAATTGAGGTGCCTTGCTTGAATCCCAATCTCCTTCCCAAGCTGTTTGAGAGGCTTGTTGTGGCTGTTCTCCTTGTGATTCACCCTCAGCATTGTTGTCTTGCCTCTGAACCATCTCATAACCCTCTTGAGAACCCATTTCCTTCTTGGCCTCCGGGATAGTATCGACCATGTAACATGTCGATATTCTGGTCGACAGAAAATGGTGTCACAAGTCGATACCTTGGTTGATAATATTTCGGCTCTCTGATCGGTCTTAAGTCCTTCACACATAGAAAACGTTTTGGGGGCCATCGAGGTGTCACAAGTCGATATCTTGGTCGATATTCCTTTGGCATTTTGATTCAAAATATCGACTAGATTATCTTGATTTGGCATGTCAATATGAATGCAAGAACTTGAGTTTTCCAAGCTTCTAAACCGATCACCTTCAACCTCTGGACATTCATAGTGCAAGTTCAAGTAAGAACTAATGCTCTCCTCTGGTTTGTGAGAGTCTAACAGCTTCATGAGCTCCAAAGTTTCATCCTCAAGATAGCCATGATCTCAATGTTCCTTTGTTAAAGCTATCTGAAGATGATCTTCAGTGTTTAACTCTTCTAGGAGCTCATCAGCAAGCTCATCCATGGCCTCAACATAGAAGACTTGACCTTCTATAGTTGGCTTCTTCATCATTTCATTAACATCAAACTTCAGCCTTTCAGAACCAAGTTGCAGCTCAATTATGTCTCCTCTTACATCAATGATTGCTCCTGCTGTGGCTAAGAATAGCCTGCCCAAAAAAAGAGGATCAACTGGTTCCTCATCCATTTCTAGAACCACACAGTCTGTAGGCACTTCAAATCCCCCTATCTGCACTGGTAGATACTCTAGCATTCCAATAGGCAACCACACAGATCTATCAGCAAGAACAAGTGTGATTTTTTCTACTTTGAAAGTTTTATACCCCAGTTTTCTTGCAATAGAGAAGGGCATTAAGCTGACTGATGCACCCAAGTCACAAAGAGATCCAACTAACGACAATGGTCCTATAGCACAAGGGAGACTGAAGCTCCTTAGATCAGACAGCTTCCTTGGGACTGACTTTCTTTGAATGATGGCACTACACTCATCACTAAGCACCACCATACCTTGAAGCTCTTTAGTCTTGTTCAAGATGGCATCCTTTAAAAACTTTCCAAGCTTAGGCATCATCAGAAATGCTTCAATGAGAGACATTGCAAGCGGTGTCTCATTAAGAGTCTTCTCAACGACAGCTCTTGCCTTATCTACAAGATGCTTCTTAAGACCTGCCTGGAAATGGTAGCTTGGGTTGATAGGGAGGTGGTGGAACATAAACCTTCTCTGGTTCTGATGTCTTTTCCACCTCTTTGGCCTTCCCTTTCTTTGCTATTTCAGCTTCTTGATCATCCCTTGGGGCTGCCTCCCCACCAATTTGATCATTGTCCTCAATGATCACATTGTTATGCTCTAAACCTGGTAGCTCTTTGCCACTTCTCAATGTAATGGCTTTAGAATACTCCTTTGGCTTTGGTTCAGGCTTACCAGGTAAGACATTTTGTGTTCTTGAACTTGAAGTTTGATTTTGCCTTAGCTCTCTTTTATCTCTTGTTGCATGGAAGCATACTGACTCTCAACTCTTTGTTGACCCTGTAGCAACTTCTGTAGTATCCCACACATATCTGGTCCCATCTGTTGATTCTGAACCGGCGCCTGATGACTTAACTGCTGCTGACCCATCGGCTGCTGACTGAACCCTGGTGGATATTTCTGTTGCTGCGATTGGCTGGTGCAGTTACTGCTCTGAACCGGTTGCTGCTGCTGTCCATAGCTCTGTTGTTGCTGAAAAAACTGTTGCTTTGGCTGAAAAGAACTCTGAAACTGAGGCTTAGGGGCAAAGCTTCGCTGAGAAGGATATACTTGATCTTGTGGGTTTGCCACATTAGTGCTCCTATAAGACAAGTTGTTGTTGGTATTGAAGTTGTTGAACCTTTGGTATCTATTTTGTTTCCCAATGTAGTTCAACTCTTCTTGGGTCAGACATTCTTTACTGGTGTTCTCAAAGCTTGGAGACTCATCAAATTCACCAATATAATGGATTGGTTTTTGAGAAACCAATTTCAGCTTGTCTAGTTCACTTCTCAGATCTTTAACATCTCTAGTAAGCATTTGCTCTGAGCTTGAACCATCTGATCCTCACCATATATGACATTAAACATAGCCAGATTCTCCACAAGTTCCATAGCTGCTGTAATCTCCTTTGCCAAGAAATTACCATTAGAGAATGTGTCTAATTGATTCCTTATCTGTGGTAAAGCTCCTCTATACCGTGTAGAAAGTAGAGAAGCTTCAGAAAACCCATGGTGTGGACACTGATTGGTGTAGCTTCTAAATCACTCCCAAGCTTCCCCAAAGCTTTCATTGTTATGTTGCTTGAAGCTTGAAATCTGGTTTCTCAGCTTAGCTGTCCTACAAGTAGAGAAAAATTGGATAAAAAGGCAAGCTTGCACTGTTTCCAAGTCTGTATGGAACCTCTAGGCAGGTTCTTCTCCCATTGGTGTGCCTTGTCTCCTAGACTGAATGGGAAAAGCCTAAGCTTGAAACTATCTTCAAAGACACCATTGATCTTTGTGATCACAAACTCGGTCAAACTGATCTAAATGCTCCAAAGGGTCCTCCATTGGCAAGCCATGAAATTTGGAGTTCTGAACCGTGTTGAGCAAAGAAGCCTTCACCTCAAAATTGTTATTCTGAACTGGTGGTGCTTGGATTCCTGCTCTATGCTGGTGTGCATTGGCTCTAACATTCTCCGCAACAGACACTGGTGGAGGTTCTTGTCTCCTTTAAGCTTGGAGCTGAGGAATGTTGTGAGCTTTTTGCTCATTCCTATTACCTTGTTGCTGATTCTGCTGAGCCTGTCTTTCATTCCTTTGTGCCATTTTCTGATTGACAAAAGCTTGCTGCTGTTTCCTCTCAGCCTGAGCCTGATTTCTCTGAGCTCCATTACCATGCTGAGCATGTTGCTCCATATCTGCTGCTCTATCAGTTTCCCTTGCACGTCTATCTCTTCTTCTTGGCACCAAGAGATTGATATTCTCGTTCAGAGGAAATGGTGGACCACAACTCCTAGACCGTGATATAGTGTTCATGCACCCGAAAAGAAAAACAGATCTCGAAAGAAACTAGTAAACAAAAAAAAGCACTTGATCTCAAGAAATTATCTAAGACTAATGCTAGCACACTTTGGCAACGGCGTCAATTGATAACTAAAGGTTTTTAGGCTCTAGCAAAGGTTATCAATCCCTTAGCTGTTGTAGCATAAAGGGTTTATCAATCCATGTGCGGTAGACACTAGAATGTAAGACAATTTCTTAATTCAAGCAAAATGGTGAGGTTTGTTGGTGACTGATTCTTAAAACAAGATTAAAACTAGAACAAAGACAAGCGATTAAGTAAACTAAGCAAGTAAAAGCAATTAAACAAGATGAGATGATATGAAATGATGGAAGCATGAGATTCTAGACATGATAGTTGGCTAGGGTGCTTTGATGCTAAACTAGAAATGCTAATGACAATAATGAAACATGATTCAAGTGATTTAGGATTCTAATCAAGCCTTAATCTTTCCCAATGATATACTCACATTTTGTCATGTTTAGGATTGCATTTTTGTCCAAATATTGAGTCTCATGCATACATTTAGGTTGTTTTGCATATATTTGTCTTTGCTTTGTCTTTAGTTAGGAATTGCATTAGGTCCTAGAGTGTCCTGCATTTTTGGAGTGTTCTCAGGTCACTTGGAGACTTTTGGGAGCAACTTGGAGCTGGGATCATGGAGGAACCCTCACCTGTGTACAGCAACTCGGACAGATGGTTTGGTGCAGACAAAACCCTCACTTTGATCGCATGGGACGAAGGACTTGCAATGCGATTCAACCTCCGGTGTCTTCATCACGAATCAAGAGGAATGCGTTTAGGTTCCGGAACACTTAGAATCAGACGATTTGGAGCCTTGAACTGGGAGATATCGCCATCGGAAGGAACACATGTCTCGCGGCCCGATCAGGTCTTATGCAATGCGCCTCAAAGAACCGGTGGAACTGAGCCTTTTCAGACTTCAAATGAACCCAAACCATTCACCAAAGCTCGATATATTTGAGTTGGCTTTCCAATGCAGTTGAAATCATGCCATTTGGAGCCATATCCTGGAAGTTACTCTCCCCTCAATTCAAAAAGGTCCGAGAAGGCTTAGGTTGTGCGATACGGTACTGCGACTTGATTAACTCGCACCCATGAATGTTCAACGCTCTGGAAACAAGTTGATACTTTAGAGATGAGTGTAAGGAGACTATGAGCAAGGTAGAGTCTTCCAGAATCAAATTTGAGTAAGTCCACAATGCTGCGCGAGATAGACGTGCGAGTTGGACATGAAGTGGAACCATGTAGCACATGTGTTCGCAAATTACACCGACTTGGGCATGCGACTTGGACAAGTAAGTGACCATCTCACACACATATTATCTCCATAATGCGTCCTGGTTGTGCGAGTTGAAGAGAAGGAAGCCTGAGCAGCACAAACATTCGCTGTTTACACCTAGATAGGCATGCAGCTGAGGCTGAGAGAATTATGGCGCACAAGGCTGCTTCTATAGCTGTGAGACTTGGGCCTGCGACTTGGGAAGAACCTGACCATGTCGCACACCATCCACCAGACCCAACTGAACCGGGTCAGTACCGAGTTTGTCCTGGGCTGACCCGGTCCATTAGCACTTAGTATATATAGCTTTTTGGAGAAAACCGTAAACATCTTATCTTCTACTTAGTTTTCTCTCTAGTTTTCTTTCCTTTTTAGTGTAAAAAACGTTTCTCTCTAGTTTTCTTTCTTTTTTAGTGTAAAAAACGAGTTTGTTAAGAGATATCTGAAGGATTTAATCAATCTAAATCTGTTTCTTATCATCTCATCTTCTTATCTTTGCTTCTAATCATGATTAACACCATCTCTTGCAAAAGATTAGGTGTGTTAATCATGATTAGTGAGTAGAGTTTTTTATAGTCTTTGGGCATGGTAGATTAGGGGATTTTGATGTTAAATCTTTGATGTCTAGGTCTTAATCCATATTTTCCTTTCTTGTTTAGTGTTCTTAATGCTTGATTAGGCTAGAGATAGTTAATCAAAGGTCTTAGGGAATTTCATAAACACAAGGTGTTTGATAAAATTCCCCAAAGAACTAAGCAAGAGTTTTTCATGATTAGCCTATGAGAATGGATGTCTAATGTGATTAATTAGTTAATGGATCTTGTTTATAATGCTTTTGATTGCTAATTTCACTAATGAGAGTTAGTTCTTGAATTTGGTAATTAACAAAGTGATTAGTGCCTTGAGAGAGGATTAGTCAAAAATACAGTTCTAGACTTAAGGATTAGCATTTTTGTGAGTTTGTAGACATCATGGGTTATCATTAAACATCCCCTAATCAATTACCTTGCCCAAAGACTTACTTTTTATTGGTTGATATTTGAATTTTCGGCATTGACTTTTGTTGACTTTTTATGTTGACTTTTGTTGACCTCTTCTATTTTTGCTTTTTTTTTTATTTCTTGTTAATCTTGGTTGAGTTTTTGATTGCTTATTTTAATCATTTGTTCAGTAGTTAATCAAACCAAAACCCCTGATTTGCTTAGCTTAAGTAATTTCTTGTATTCTTGGTGTGTTAATCTTAATCCCTTTGGATTGATATCTTAATATTGCAATGACATGAGCATATTAAGGAATTGATTTAGAAAAAATTCCTTTATCAATTTGGCGCCGTTGCCATGGGGATTTAGCATTAGCCATTAGATTAAGATTATACTTGAGACTAAGCTTTTATTTTACCTTGTTTCCTCATCTTTGGTTGAGATGATGAACTTATTTTTATTTATTGTTACTAACTTGTTTTCCTTAGTTCTCTTATGCTTTCAAAGGTACCAAAACAAGAAGAAGAGAAGTGAGAAGACAAGAGCATATGAGGTGTTGGAGGTGAACCATCAAAATGGTATTCAAGAGGATCCACAGCCTCAAGAGGTGGCTAATCATGGGAGCATAATTAATCTCCAAGCTCTAAAACCTCAAGAATTGCCACTACATCAATAATTGGCTTCAAGTCTAACCCAAGCTCCAAAGAAAAAGCTAACAATTGGAAGCTATGACACTCCTTGTTGTCATGGAAAAAGGTATGGAATCCACCCTCCTCCAATTGAAGCTGAGGCCTATGAGATCAAAGCAAGATTGGTTAGGTTGATTCAAGACTCTAAGTTCTTGGGGTTAGGAATGGAGAACCCATATGATCATTTGGACTCCTTTGAGAGGTTGTGTGACACATTTAGAACTGGAGGAGTGCCTCAAGACAGTATCAAGCTCATCTTGTTCCCCTTTTCACTTGGGGAAAAGGCAAGCAAATGGGAAAGAGCCTTACCATCTCACTTGGTCAATTCTTGGGATGACTGCAAGATGATCTTCCTTCAAAGGTTTTACCCTATACAAAGGACTGTTCAAGCTAGGAAAGGCATCTTGAGCTTCAAACACGGAACCCATGAGATCTTTGATGAAGCATGGGAGAGACATAAAGGATACACTAGAGAATGTCCTCATCATGGGTTCAAACAAGAAGCTATCCTTAGTATCTTCTACTGGGGAGTTGTTATAGAGCATAAATGGACATTGGATGTAGCTAGCAATGGGCGTTTTGCAAATCTTACCATAGAACAAGGAGAGCTACTTGTTGAGAATTTGGCCAAGAGTAATGAAAGATACAAGGAGCTTGATATTGAAGCTTGTAAAGATGGTCAAGGTGAGGTGGAGCTTTGTTTTCAGCAAGAGTTTGTTCCACAAGGGCAAGTTGCTTCAAAGCCTCAAGAAATGGAGTTGAACAGCATGTTCCAACAACTTCTCAAGGGACAAGATGAGATCACCAGACGAGTGAAGAGTTCTTACAATGATCTCCACAACAAAATAGAGAGTTTAACCTCTCAAGTGAATCACATGGAGATCAAAGATCATGAAGCTGCTATAAATGAGATAGAACGTCTGCTCTATAGTCCACAACAAGACATTGCTCTTAAAGGTCTTTCTTCACAAGACAATGAGGACATTGAGCAACTAAGTAGGGAGGTGGCCCTTGAAACTGAAGTTTTTGCTATAAAAGACGTCCATGGAACTTCTAGAGACAAGGTTCAGATTGTTGCTGAAGAGAAGGCCAAGCAAAAGCTCAAGAAGGAAGAAAAATCTATTGAGCCTCCAGCCTATGTGCCTCCAAGTCTCTGTGATGAGTTTCAACACTTTGAGATGAAGTATGTGGGGAATTGTGGAATGAAAGAGAAGGATCAGCCTCTTAGAGCTTGTGAGAAAAAGAAAGAACGCCAAAGAAAGCTTGATCTTGAGTT